TCATCGTCAAAGCTCTCAGATGTATTGTTAACAAGAAAGATAGCGTGACAGACTCATATAGTAATGCAATCATTGCTTACGCACTGACACTTGCAAAACATCCCGCCCGTGCAAGCTTCCTAAAACGATTAGCGTCTCAAGCCATCGTCAAAGGTCAGAAACTAAATCTAGTCCATACTTATCTGGTCTTATCTATATGACCTTACTTATTTGATTATGCATGTCTTGCATTAAGTAACGGCCCCGAGTAAGAACTAGGGAAGCAAACGACACAGGAATGCAAGAATTGAAGGTGCTAATTGCGCATTGTATAATCCATCCATCCCATTGGTTAAAACATGAAAATCTGCTATAATTTCACAAGTTAGCGAATTTTCTAATATTTTATTTAATGTCTGTTTTCGCTTTCATGAAAGCTTTCTTTAGCTTTAATATTAAGGCAATTCTACGTGGGGAACATTAGAAGCATCTTTTGGCTATTGTTTTGAGTGCTTATGATTGGATAAGAGCTTTTAATACAAAAGAAACTTTGTTTCAAAATAGAGTTTATCCACATTTTATTTCAAAAATGTGTTACCCACAGATGGATACATAATCAGTGTGAAAACCAAGACATTCGTACATGGGGAACTTGCTATGCCGCAGAACAATAGAGAGTTCCCTAGTTCTTTAGCGCATTGTTACTTAATGGCATATGCGCTACTTAATGGCATATACAAACTTAATTGATATACGCATGCATGCAGTAGATTGCCTCTGCAACATGAACAGTATGTACTAACTACTGTAATTACATGGTTCAATATAGATGGAAAAATGCACTGGGAGTATTCGAATCAACGAAAACAAAGTGGTCCAATTCGTCCACATCATCGTTCTTCCTCGATTAACATTGAAATGACAGGATATGCACTTATGGCGATCATTGGCGACGGTACTAATACGAAAACACTTTCCAAAGCAAGACCTATAGTTAAGTGGTTATCAAATCAAAGAAACGBACATGGAGGATTCTCGTCCACACAGGTTAGCATTATCGCAGCCAAATCTTTCTTCCTGTCCCTCTCCTCTCAGTACATACTTACGTGTCCCTTGGTAACGATTTTGGCCGGCTTCTATCTAAACGTATATCGCAGTTGATCACTTAAAAAAAGCTCTTCAGAATGCTCAGCTTTTCAGATTTCTCAGTTTTTTAAAAGACCCAAAACGTTTAATCTCAAACCTTCTCAAAACTTCGAAAATGAGAAGAACTCTCCATAGATAGGGATAGCATAGCATCATGGCTACCCTACTGGTTTGCAAAGCATCATGTGAATCGATGAATCAAGGGATTCAACWTTTTTTTATAGGATACCTGTGTAGCACTTCAAGCGTTGTCCGTCTTTGGACGTTACGTCTATGGTGAGCTGGTTGACTACATGAAGTTACACGCTGGTCACAATCACCCCAAAACATGGATGGTTATTGATATTGATGACCAAAAAGGATTTAAGCAAAACTTTCGTGTCACTCACAATAAACGACTTGTGCTCCAGAGAGTTGAGGTATTTGATATCTTCTTTTTTTCGAATCAAATGTTTTCCTCTCGATCCAAAGTTATTATCTAGTTTGAGGAGTTAGAATCAAATCTCTGACCCTGTAGGATGTTTACCATTCATTAATTATTTGTCAATCCTCAGTTACCAGGACAAAATCTTCCCACCAAACTAAAGATGAAAGCAGTTGGAAGAGGATGTGCCCTCGTGCAGGCCGACGTGTCTTACAACATCAAAACTATACTAGCTGGACCATCGTTTCAAATCTCAAGCAGTGTACGACGACGAAGAGATAGCAAAACTCCAGTGTTGAGAACAGATGCTGGAGAAAAACTTTGTCATCCTCTTGAAATAAACGTTTGTGCTCAGTAAGTTTTTGCTTAAAGTAATTTCTTTTTTTTTATAATCTCAATCCCTTTTTCAAAATGTTGCTTTTTGTCGACTTCGAAGGCGGTTTTTGGCATATCGTAACACTGACATCATCGCACCGTTGTGAATCGCTAGATGCGACGACGATAACTTTTCAGATGGTGATCCGTAAATAATATAAAATGAAGTCAGTTTACTAAGTAAAATTTTGGCAATAGTTGTGTTTGCATGTCTGAATATAAAAAGGAGGAACGGCGGAAAACCACCCCTCTATAAAGCACGTTTTTGCACCTCAGTGGCATCTTCATTACCTGGATTTTCTTGATGACCAAATTTAGCTAAAATTTTGGATCTTGATCAATGCACTGTAGAGAATGACAAATGAATGCTAATGGAAACTTAAATTTCTGAAAGAGACTTAGACTAAGAATTGCGAAGAGAGTTATTTAACGTGAATGCTTGATTCTTCAGGTGGCGTGAGAAAGATGAATCTGACATGGCAGTTATCGAGGTTAAACTAGTATCTGGTTTTGAACCTGAYGAAGAATCKCTGGAGAAGGTGGGTTGTAATACTATAGTACACTCTATGTTTCTGTCTGTCACTCTGACTGCCGCCTTCTGGCTTACTCAAGACGTTAGTCCCCTTTCCGATCTTTTGATATTTCCTTCATTCATCTATTTGTATTCATATTCATTGCGCTTGAGTGAGCTGAAGAGTTCTCCTGTTATTAGATCTATTAGATGGTTTATGCAGGAGAGGGAGCGGGAACTAGGAGGGATCACTCACAACAGACACAGCAGCTAACAGACAGGGGCCGGGATTATCGTCGCTTCCTTGGATATTAATATCAATAAAATGCATTTCATTTTATATATTCTGTTTGTAGCTTTTGAATCGCAAGGATGTTGTTCTTAAGAGGTTTGAAATCGAAGATACCAAGGTTGTCTTGTACTTTGATGAGGTAAATTAACATATCAATAGATACACGCTTAAGAAACGGTATGTTTCGACGACCTCTTGTTGTCATTATGAAAGCAAAAAGTTCTAGGTAGTTGAAATTAAGGGTATCGTTTCTTTTACTTGTTTTCCTTCCTTTCCTACTATAAAAACTATAGATCAAGATGTTGTGTTTTTGACTAGATAAAAGATGTTTGTGTGACATTTGGAATCGACCAAACTTCAGTTGTGACGAGCATGARGCCTGCAACTGTGACTGTATACGACTATTACGACCCAGGTAAGGACCTTGTACTTTGCATCTACTAAATGGGATGGGATTTTACTTAAGGGTAACATAGTATGGGGGGAAATGAGGAGATCCAACAATTGCGACATATAAGAAGTTGTTCGTAGAAGACAAAGAAGAGTATATCTCAGCGACCCACGTACATCCAAGGAGCTTCAATCGCTTTTTTTTGATAATCGAGTCGAGTGCTGTACGACTTCTCGATCATTTTGATGAAAACCTGGACTTTTGCTGAAAATGATCAAAGACAATAAGCATAAAAATACTTCCAGAAAAAGAAACATCTAGAATTAAAAAAAACCCTGAAATTTTCAATGAGACCTAATCATCTAGAGTTGGAGTAATGTCGCAGTCTCTCCCTTTGTATCACTGGKCTAAATTGAAAACTGTCAGACATTTTAAATACCAAAAGAAGAYCAAAGAACTTAATTAATATAGCAGAAGCCTTCTATATGTAAAAAAAAGTCGAACCACCATTCTTCTATTCGGTAATTAGTATTCGATATCCATTCTTATGATGACTAATTTTTGATTCTTTTAATTTTCAGATAAGTCAGCTTCTTCCCAATACACCATAACAAATGATCTTTGTACAACACAGCCAGACGCTTAGTATCCTTGGTCCCAAGCCCTCACCAAATATAGATCACTATTGAATTAATTAAAGTTAGATCTACCGCTACTAAATTTAATTGCATCAAAGACTCACATTTAAGACCCAATTAGACGGAACAACTTTCGAATGCAAACCTGAGTAAGTCATCTTTTCAACATTAACTACAGCGTTCTTGGGAATTYTTAGTCCTTACAACAGCTGTATCTATATTATAAGGATGACTTGCGCAAATAGGCGATGGTTGTATACAAACGTTGTGYTGGTCTAATTGCGGACTTTAACCTGCATGTATTTCCTAGGTTTTAAGCGTTTTTGTAGATTTTGCTATTATTTGAGATTAAAAGAAACTAATCATTTAACTGCAATCTCACATGATCCCTCAGGCTGATGACGTAGAAGAACTGAGAATTATAGCAATAAAGTGCATTTGTGTGCTCAACTATGGTATTTAGAAGGCAATTGTTGTGGAATTCCGCACACGTGCGTTGGGATATCGTACACAGTGTATATTTGCTGCTTGTACGATGAAGACGTTTACGTATAACTACACAACCACCATGTCTATCGCATGTGATAATTATTGGTTTCAAGAMCGTATTCTTTAAGAATTGCCTAGTTTTCAAAATCGGTGTCCTTGATTCGCTGTAATTCCAGGTAATTCCAGGTAATTATATGTTTTTTTTCGGTAAATCAGTCGTGGAATATTTTCTGAATATCCACCTTCAAAGGAAAAATTGCACTTAATTAAACTGTAATTGTTTGAGTTTATGACAACGTAAAACTTTTTCTTGCGAAAATGCAAAAATTTTCTAAAGAGCAAGATTACGGTCTTTGTGAAGTACGCAGTGAGGTACGGATTTTGAATTTCTCAATCGGATTTGTGGGAATCATTACAAACTGGTACAATGTATTCATTGGTGGTTATCGAGAATTCATCTATAGCATTAAAAGGTAYGTTATGCCTACACGAGATTGTACATTATTACCGACAAAACAAACTCAAATCTTCAGTATTTTACAAGAATTTAATAGCTTATGTATCCAAGTAATGAGAGTTTGTGAATAACTTATCTACTGATGAGTTGATATTTTTAACTTGTTTTCATAACGAAGAAAATCACCGAATTGAAGTTAATTAAACATCCATTCTTGTTCGTCCATCATTGATGGGTCATCAGCCAATAGAAAATCATCGTACTCATCGCCGGCGCCAAAGTCATGTTCGTTTTGTGACTGGTCGTCATCGTCATCGCCATCTTCCTCGTCACTATCCAGGAAAAATTGCGCTGAAATAGAACACACAGATATTGATGAAAATGGTTATATGATGGCGAAGGGCAAAGAGGGGTAAGGGTGACCTCTTGCACCCATATGTCAAGTGACCACACCTTAATTAGATCAATCGACTATAAAAAAAAACAGATACAAAGAGCTGAAGGAGCTTGCATGCTAAGCTATGTAACAACTCTCAATGTTGAATGCTCAACAAAGATCAAAGAAATGTATTGACACTGATGTCTGATTTCAAATCTCAGTAATTTCAACATCTTTGAATTRTAAATTCAGTGAAAAAAACGCAAAAGTAAAGACATACGCATAGCAATCCTCTGATTCCTGGCTTTGGGATGATCGGTGGAAAAGTCATGCGTTACGATTTTTACCCCCTGACATTCCTCTATRGCTTGATCTATTCGGTCGTCAGATATCGATGTACCTTGAAATGAGAGGAGAAATTAAAGAGGAATGAGAAATAATATACTAGTAGTTCATGCTTATCGATTAACTCCATTTATCCTAGGCGAAACGTTTGAAATAAAAGATCACAGTATCTTCAGAAGTCATAACTTTTCTAATATATTCACATCCAAGGTATGGTTACACATAAATTCTCATCTTTATGTTAATGTGCCAAAAACGGACACATTGTCTTTTTACAAGTTAAACAGCCAGTCTTTTTCTAGTTGGCATATAAATAATAAAAGTCATAACACGAAGAATCGCTGAACTCTTCAAGATGTTTTTGATGACGTCACACAGAACRAGAATGTGGGGGGAGGGGKAGGGTAGAATCAGTGATTTAAGTGGAAAGGATGGTAGGGTCGGAYGACAAAGATGAGGGGGSAGGRAAAAWGAATATTACCTCCGATGACTAACGTCAACAAACACCTATCAACTGGAGACGTGTAGTAGTTAATCACATGAAGTAACGATGCGTCAGTTATGTATATACAACCGCTGAGATCCAGCTCGGCGAGGTTTGTACAGCGTGTAAGAAGACTTTCAACAACTGAAACGATAATTATATATATCAAACAAAACACTAAAGAATATGTCCATTGCTCTCAAAAAAAATAAAAAAAGCAAATCAGCAAAGACAAGAACAACTACAAGAGATCGGAGCTCTGATGTACAGCGGTGTAGATAACTGTAATGAATATGCGCAGCAATACATTTTTTAACCGATGCWTGGTAGGAATTTTAGTCCTCACCCTCTTTTGGTATCTGCGACAGAAAAATCTAAAATATGCTTCTCTCATTTCGTTACAAAAGATGGCTCAAACGCACTCATTTTTGCGAATTAACTAAAACAAATTGGGAGAAATAGTTCAGAATTCATTGAGGAGGAAATTTCCCACCATGCTTTACTGAACAAACTGGCGTCGCTACACATTGTAAAGACGTAATTACAGAAAACACCGAACACAGCCAGGTGTTACGAGACGTTGATGCGTATAAACGGTTCCTGCACTTTACCTCCATCCGTCATTCCATCACATGACCTAGCAATGAATATTCGCAGTGTTCCATTCAAAGCCAACTGACTGATGCTTGCGTTTGTAATCTATTGTAAAATTACCAAGTTAACTTAAGTCATTCACTCGAAAACGCGCACAACGCGCACAACTTCAAGTAGTACGGATCAGAGCGAGCAGTTTAAAGCTTTATATCATGTTGCGAATGATTGGAAACAAAGAATGAACGATGAGAAAAAAAAAAGGGAAAATCGCACGGAGGAATGCCAACATACATACATGATCGTTATAGCTTATGATAAGTTCTTGTAGCTTCTCACAAGTAACAAGGGACTGTAGTCCAGCATCACTCACATCACCAATACTACAATCTTGAATATTAAGAGAACTACAAGAAAAAATAATATTAAGTTAATGGGCTACAGTAGTTCAACGACAGGCCGGTCACGTCGGTAGGGGCAAATAATAGAAACTTAAAACAAATATAACTTTTGCCTGTAAAGACGTTGATTCATTCAATTCACAAGATATATAGTGGTATAAGAAATATCAWAATTGTGTATAGAATCTGATATTTTGTTGATAGACCAGGATCTTGAATCGAATCGTTATTATGGGACATCCGGGGRAGCACAGTAAGCAATCACTTACCTACACTAGGATATCTTCGGATTGCAATTTATGTRACTACTAAGTGATTTACATCCTTATTTTTATCAAAATTAAACAACGGACCAATTTTCTGAAAAATCGAGTTTTTTGTGAAAACATCGCATATGTTACAGTAATTAGCATGTAAATCACTAATTACTTGCATAAAATGTAATGCATGTAAATTACTTGCATAAATTGCAATCCTAATATATCATAGTATAGGTAAATGATTATTTTAGAGGTTGGTCAAAGCTTTGAGTCAAATATCGAATAATCGATTGGCATTTAACATATGATGATGATGACTTATCTCTTCTGACAAAATTGGTGTTAGCGAGGAAAAAATACATGATGCTCACGCAACGTAACTTTTAGATCCATTTTTACGGGTTTTAAAAAAAGCGATGTGAAAAAAACATCACAAGTTAAATAGCTGACGTTCTGCATATTGACTTACTTTAGGTTAGTAGAGCAGCGCCCAATGTGGAAAAGTAARTTATCATTCACAGCGTCACAACCAGAAAGATCCAACTTCATCTAMACAAAAATACATACACAATTGAGGCAAGTTTATAACTAAGGCACCATTCTCTCTTGCAGTTCTTTCCTCGGGCTTCCTKTATCTTCCAAAAGGAGAAAGCAGGAAAACAAAAAGAATGGCAGCAAAAGAAGATTTGAGAAATGCGCAAATTTTTGACTGAGTGAGGAAAACCCTCGGAGCAAGAGAGCCATCCCACCAACTTAAATCACATAATAGTCCTAGACCGAGAATCGAGSCAGGACAACAGCGGTGATAGACCGGGCTTTTAACCGCTCGGCTATCCTCTTGSTCCCCAAGGAGTGGAGTGAAATACGAGTTTCAAAAATGGCGGTAGTTCTTCATGACCGCCAACATAGGGGGACTAGTGACGAATCATGGAAACGATACCTCAAAGGCCTTCTATCTAGAAATCACTACGACGATCGCCTGTAGGTAGTGTCCAAAAGTTTGAAAGATGTATTGGTATGTTATTTACAACACTCTTGCAAGACACCATCGAAGTTTACTATACGGATGCTGAGACGAGGCTGAGACCTCGTTTAAGTGCTTCGCCCCAGTCCCCTGGTCGGCGACCGTGACATGCCCCATTCGTCCCCAGTTCCCTGGTCGGCGACCGTGATATATAGCCCCATTTTTGAAAGTCGTGTGTTTCTGCGTCTGTTATATAGGTGTGTAACAATGTTATACGACGTAAAAATAAATAACATTCAATAATRGTTTACCAAGTTAGCGAATCTTGATATCATCATCTCTAGTCCTTCACCATTAACTACAATTATTTAAAACAAACAAATTATTGGTCATTTTATCATTCACTCAGTTTTCTTGACTAATGCCTTTACAGCTGTTGTCTAGCAAACGCCCAACGCATCCTTGAAAATCAATAAGTCATAAATTCTGGTAATGGACGGTATTGTAGCTGCTATGATCAGTTTGTTTTACCTGTTTGAGGGCAATTTTTGAAACGGAAAGTYTCGACCTTTGTGCAGTTCTACAAGTGAAAGAATAAGTATCAAAATATTTCTCTTTTCGACCCAAAGCATTAAAGCTGACACTAGGGCAGGACAACGTTGAATATTGAAGACCGAACGCATTGTTGGTTRCTCTATTCTGTGCCATTCCAAAGGAGTTTTCACGAGTGACTATAGACCCCTTGCAGTTAATGAGAATGCCTCGGGGRCATCTTGACATCTTTTACGGGAACACTACCTGGTTTATGTCAACCTTTGAGTCTTTGATAAGGTCTACATTTTACCAATTTGTCTTGGCTATGGAATTTTACGATTTTACTGTCTTGAATAGAAGTACCAGCGGAACGTCCTAACCCTAACCCTAACTTCCCCTGCTCCCTCAACCCGATTGATTTAGAAATRTAATGCACCTAACACGGCTTTGGAGCGAACTTAGATTCATAAAGTTACGGGGTATTCTAAAGTTTAACCGAGAGTTTGATAGCAACAAGCAACAATGCAGTGCGTTCTTGGAATGCAAATAGCTTATAAGATAGTCCTAGATACTAACCAGCAGGGCTGTGAATGCAGCATTGGTAAGTGATGCACATCCAGACATGTCAATTGTCTTAAGGTTATTACATATATTACCAATAAATGCAGCACCACTGTCTGTTAGCTGAAACAATGCAATATTAAACAACAATTAAATTGCTTTGACTAGGACAATACAGATAATATGCAAATAATGGACTGAAAAAATAAACAAATTGATAGTCTGTAGATAATAACCTTGGTTACGAGATATATTCCATGTTTTCATTCTCTGTTAGAAACATGGAAGTTTGTTGGGAGAGCACAAGAAAATTCTTGAAGCAAAAGCTGAACTGAAAGCAAATGATTCAAAACTTTTTCATGTGTTCTCCCTACAAYCCAACTACCYTCACTAATATTTTAGTGTTCTAATGCTTGTTACCACATTCACTCAGTCTTAAAGATGACATCCAGCATTATTAAGATACTTACTCTGCTACAATCACTGAGAATAAGAGTTTCAACAGTTGGTGGCAGCATGAAGAAACACTAAAAACCAACGATAGTAATGATGTTAGCATGTGTTTTCAAAGTAAAAATGTGCTCATAAATTAAGGAATGCTATCCGATGCTGAAAATAATCTTTATTTAACACATAAGTTCATTGTTTACTGACCTTTCCTGTCAATCTTTTGTTATCTGATACATCAATGTATTTTAGATGTCTACATTCTTTAAACACCCACCAAAATCTAAAAAAACAAAATCACCAGAGAGTTGTCTTTTAGGTGATTTATAGTCCAACAACAGCAATAACAACAACATACATAGAACAAGAATAAGAACAACATTAAACTATTCAGAACTTCAGTTTCTTGTAACAATCTTCCATTAAGGCTAGTTTCATGAGTTAATTAGTCCAGAGGAGAAGAAGGAAGAGGAGGAGAATTCTAATAATGTCTTGTCTTGTTCYTACCCTTTTTCACCAACACCACTTCGTCTTAGAATAAGAATCTGTAATTCATAAAATAACCTGAATGTCAAGCCACAATCCTTTACAACAAACACTGACTTTAATACTGACCTCTAGTTTATTGCAAGATTTAGACAAGACTTTTAAAGAAGAGGTAGTCARTTTAACTTCTGATAAGTCTATTCTTTTCAAGCTTTTACAATGTTTAGCTAAAATAAACAGCATTCAAGGTTAATATGATGTGAGATGTCCATTATTATATAAGACAAGAATGTGTGAAGGGCATGTAGGAAGAAGAAAGTGAATGAGAAAAAATGAAGAGATCTGTTGTGAATGGATGAGGGCAGTGAAATAGAAGGGACACCATTGATGAAAGAGAGGGGAGGATAAGAGAAAGAAATGAATAAAGGAAGGGTGAAAAGAGGAATAAATGAGGGAGGGATGGGAGATTCAATGGACGAAAGAATAGAAAAGAAATTCTTTAGAAAAAGAAATGACAGAGCAGAACAGAGCAGAGCAGAGCAGAGCAGAGCAGATTCCGATCTAGCAGAGCAGAGCAGAGCAGAGCAGAGCAGAGCAGAGCAGAGCAGAGCAGAGCAGTGCTTACCAATGCAGTGGACAGCAAAATCAGTTAACAGGAAAGGTGAAGCAGATAAGTCAAGAGATTGAAGATTTTTGCATCCACGTTGCAATATTTTCAGAAGAATATAATCTGTGAGACCTGGAATTGAAAGCAAAAAATGAGGTAACACAACAAAACACATGACTTATCACCAATGAATAATTAAATATTTCTTATTTAATTGCATATTATTTTCTGAAATACTGCTCTCAATACACTCACTATTTATAAAAGTTCCAATAAATTTATGTTTTTAAAGTCAAACCATCTTTGCCATGTTTCAGATAACATGCCTGTATGAGTACAATGTATGCATAATCTTCTTGCACCCAATAAACTAAATAAAACAGTATATACAAGAAATGATGATAAAATCCTGTAGTTACAAACCTCCTTTATACAGCGAAAAAATATCTTTGAAATCTAAGTGAGTCACYGAAGGCCAGGCTTTGAGCACAAGGTACTTCCACTTTCTACACACTAAATATAATTAAACAGAGAATAATATTTCCTTAATTCTCAATCCTAGTTAGGAAATTGTAAAAATACATTTTGGGATAAACACAGTTCAAAATCCAACCAAAGGGAAAGTGGCTACCCATCCTCCTTTTAGGGTTCAAGAATTAAAAAATAAAAATAAAAAATATTCTGCACAGTACTCATTCTGAAAGACAACTAAGTTTTTCATCTACTCCTCTATCCAATGTTCTGAGTACACCACCAACAGCTTTTGATAATGGTACTAGCTGAGCTATATTTCAGTACTGTTCTTACCTCGTTCTATTTGTATTTTATCTTTTAGACCCAAGAATGTAAATATGTGAATAAGGATATCWTCATTTAGGCTGGAAAACGAGGGTACACTGAAAACAAATGTTGAAATGTAATAGCTATCCAATCAAAGCCTGAACTCTCGCTGATAAACCAAGTGTTTATTTTTTTTTATTATATTGTGAACTTCACTCTGTCTCAAAACCGACAGTCTCACTTCTATCAAAAGCAATTCCATGAGATAATAATAGTACCGAATTGAAGGCTTCCAAAAGGCTTCTCTGTTCAGTTGTTTTAAATGCCAGAAAGAGAAAGTCCTGGCATTGGTCTGTCATGGAATAAATAATTATCATGTAATAACCGCTGATAGAATAATATAGGGTAGTGTGCATATCAAAACCCATGTTTGACTGGAAATGTCAGGTCTTTTTCTCCTCTCAGAAAATGTCCTTGGAAATGAGGCTGAATAGTCCAGTAATAATTTTCAACTCATGAACATTTGAAATTTTAATAGACTGCATTGTGTTTAATACCTTTTTTCAGTTTTATTACTTGTACTTTCAGTATGGACRTCTTCTTTTGTCTCTTGCATTAAAGATAACTGTTTGAATTCTTCTAAGACATCCTAGTGCATAACACAGAAATGATTATAGAGTAGACCATAATTTTCTATGCATATCAAGAAGTACTCATAAATAATACACAACTTTCCAAAATGGCATTAGGTCATGACAGGCAATCATTCAATTGAAATTACTAATGATAAGAGTATACCAGTATAAGTATAAGATGRTATTATGTACCTCTAAAGATTGCTCCTCCTCAAAAGGTTCACGTCCACCTTGAATAAACAGCACAATATATAGTATTAGGAAATATATAGTATTAGGATTGATAGTATTACTTAAGGGAATGGGGGTGAACAAGATTTTACCTTTTCTTCTCCTTGTTGGAGTTGATACTGTCATTACTCTACAACATAAGTTATATTTTAAAATCTTGTTGTGCTGAATATTGTCATGTATGGACCTCAAATTTCGTACCAAACAACCATATCCGTTGCATAACCATATAACGGAAATTTTGTACTTAAAGGTATTTAAAGTGTACCTTCCATTCAACATCCGTTCATCGTCTGTAGAGTCTTTTGCTTTCTGTGCCTCCCATTCATTGCTAAACGTTACAAAACCAAACCTGTGACAAAGATTATTAAACACTATTACAGTCAAAGAATAGCAAAAAAGAATGCTCTTGAAGCCAGAAGGGTACCACCCCCACCCAATAAAATTATTGATGAAATATACCTTCATTGACAGAATCCCATAACTTATTAGACACAACACAACACAACCTAGAGTATACCCACCCTCGTGATCTTCTCTTGGCTTTGTCTTCAATGATCTCTGCACTAAGCACTTTACCAAAATAACCGAAGAATTCCCGAAATTCCCGTCTTCTAACTTTAAAACCAACATTTCCAACGAAAACTTTGCACTTATTGGCAATYRCTTTATTTCGTCCAACTGTTTTCTTAACTTGTCCTACCAAATCTAATTTACCCGRAGATTCCCGAGTARGAGCGTTTGAGGTGGAATTTGAATGAATGTTCTTTGCAGAAGTTGAGTCGGTTGTCTTTGCAGGTGTCTCTRTTGTGTCAGATTCAGTTGGAACCTTTTGATGGTTTGTATTTTCCGCACCGTTAATGTCGTGTGAATTCTCTCCGGGATCGACAGTCTCTTGTAAACACAATAGTCCAGTCGTAGCTCTATTAAAGTTCATCCTTTTTAGCGCTTCAAGCAACTGAGAATGAGACGACTTGCCGCTTGCGCCCAGATTCATGATGTAGGACAAATCATTCCAAATTTCTGAACTGTCTAAATTACTCAGAAAATACCTCGATTTGGCCTTCAGCTACACCTATGGAGCAAAAACCTAGCTACATCTTTTCTTGAAAAGTACGTACACTTCTCTGTCAGTAAAACARTTGAGATTTTCTTGAGTTTGAACCATAAAATGCATCTATTTCATTCACTCACATGGCTGCGGCACCGCGGAAATACGTTTTTGCCAACTCGATCATTGCGTACAGCGGCAACTGATAATAACAAGCAAAATGGCCGCTTTTTTCGCATGTTTTTTACTTTGAAGATTGAACTTCAAACAAGGAATAAACATGGGTTTTTAATAAACAAGGTATAAAATTATGACTCATGTCTTTTTGCAATTAATTCGCTTTTGTATGGTAGATGTAAACTGTAAAAATATCCAAGTTTTGTAAAGAAATACTGATGAAATGTACATGCTATTTATCGTGAACCATGCAGCGAAATGAGCCATTTGTGCAAAGATATGTCTACAAAACCCCAATGCTTAGCCGAAATACCCAATACTTAGTCTTGAGAGCTTAACCATAGTTAGATTAAKACATGTTTTATAATATATGTTTTGCACAAAATAATCTATGCTTGCACATTGTATGAACAAAGCATATGAACTTCATATTAATGTCGTCGCCATAGTAGCACAAGCTGACGAGTGCGCCGGCAAGTGCTATCTGGCATATTTTTTTCGCTACTGCAAATATGTTATGCTTTTATGCAACTACTAGGCAGTCAGAGCGGCAATGTAGAGGTATTATTCGAAAAACAACACCGGAAATCGAAAGATGTACCGCTTTACCGTGTGGTAATTACATATGCCAATATCATTTTGATAAAATAAGGCGCGAAAACAACTCCAGATGTTCTTGTCCATCTTCATGGGGTCATTCAAAATCACTTCATCCATATACAATCCCTGTCAGCTACCAAAAACTACTTGATCTTGCTGGAGAAACATGCCTTGATTATAGACCTGGCACTAGGTGGTGTAATAAATGTTACAAAAAGGCACCAATAGCATTTAAGGAAGTTTCATCTGTTATATCATCAAATAATGGAAAAGTAAGTGTACAAATAAAACTTCAAGTCCAAAAATGTCCCTATTGTAATGTAAACTATTACAATATACAGGTAACAGGAAATGCAACAAATGTAGTGGANAGTGTTATCTGATGTCAATAACTCTGAAGCGTTATCCATCACCGGGAGTGTATTCCCTGTGTGGCTCTATCCTTGAAAGTGTCACCTTTCAGAAGTACCTAGGCGTCTACATAACATCGAGCCTACGTTGGGACAAACAAGCAGAGGAAGTTAAAAAGAAAGCTAACAGAGTGTTGTGTATCYTACAGAGGAACCTTTCATCGTGCCCCRCCCCGATCAAAGARCGAGCCTACACGTCACTCGTTCGGCCAATCCTCGAGTACGGATCGGTGGCTTGGTCMCCKCACACTAAGAAAGATATCAACGCTGTTGAATCTACCCAACGTAGAGCAGCCCGCTTTGCGACGGGGGACTACCAAAGATCAAGTAGTGTAACAGATATGCTAAGTAACCTAGGCTGGCAGTCTCTTAAATATCGTAGAACTGTGCAAGACCTTTCCTTTTTTTACAAGGTCAACTTCGGGCTCGTCAAAATCTCTTTTCCATCTGACGTCCTRCCTAAGTCTATATCATACAGTACTAGAGCCAGCGTCCGTAATAATTACCAGTTCTCCCTGCTCCCAGCCAAAATTAATGCTTTCCAATTCTCCTTCTATCCTCGTACAATTCCTGTATRGAACTCTCTACCGCAGTTAGTTTTTCCTCAAATTCCGTCAGCAAGTAACTTTGTAGCGGSCTTACCTAGTRAACTAACCCGGTAATGGGTCATGTTGTCCGTTTTTACATGTCGTCGTGACGTCTTGTAGTCGTTTACCATATTTATTTGTTTGTTTATATTAATTATCTACTCGTTTTATTATGTTACCATTGCCTGTCATTGTTCTCTAGGCCAGCCACCGCTGGCCGCCCCATTGCCGGATTAGTTCACTAGTGGCAATTAATTTATTTAAAGATTAAAAGTAAGTTCAATTTACAGAAATTTAAGACGCTTCTAAATTTACTTTTAACTTTTTATGAAAATTACTTTATTTCACATATTGAACATTATTTACATATTTAATTAACTTTTTCCATTAACACCAACGAAAAWTCATATCCATAAAATATGCTTCGGTCAGTAGCTAATAAAAATATTTAGTCCACTTTGCAGTTTAATCTAGATGCTGGATGCCTGTAGTGCCTGAGTTCACAGATAGCTCAACACTTTATCAGGCTGTGAAGCGACCATTATTGATTATTTTCCTACAAAAACCTGAGTTTTCTTTAACACTTCTAAAAGGCAATAGGCGAGATGAACGTGTCCAAGCATTGATGACAAGTCATTCAAATTCTTTCACAAGGGGATCATAGTAGGGCTGTCAAACTAATGGTCGGGTCGGTTACAAAAGAATATTACAAMAGAATGGAATAGAAAWTTTCATAAAAAAGCTTAAAAGGCTTTGCAGGCTTCCHATTGAACGATCATTGGACAACAAACGGCTGACCGAGAGAGACTGGTTGCTTATTTTGAGTATAAAACAATGGATTCTTTCTGAAGAAGTCAACGATGGCTGGAAGAGAATCAAACGCATGTCTACCAATCACAAACTTCTTGCTTGGAGTAGTTTCAATAGGGAAGTGGCGAACTCTGA